TGGTGAACAAGAGCTCAATCTGGAGCTGGGCTGACGTGAGTCGCCAGCGACGGCGTAGGCTGCAAAGGGGCCAGCCGGCAAGGGCGTGAGATTTTGTGAGCTGCCGTGAGCCACTGTGAGCGGCTGTCCAATGGCTGGCGAGTGACTGCCTCACCTGGGAAAAGTGCAATAATAATACCAACATGGGGGCCGGCCGAGTGGCGCGATGGTTAAGAACTGGCTTGGGATGCCAGAGGGCCCCGGTTCGGATCCCACATATGAGGGCCAGTGACACTGCCCTCTACAGCTAACATGCTGAACAACAGCTCAACCTGGAGCTGGGCTGCTGTGAGTCGCCGGCGACGGTGTAGGCTGCAGCCCCTGTGGCAGTGGGTTGCCATGGGCTACTGTGTGTAGCCAGTAGCCAGTATGAGCGGCCAGCAGCTGCAGTGAGCGGCCATCCAGAAGCCGGCGACTGATCTGCCTCACCAGATGATGGTGCAACTTGGGCCAGTGAAGCAACGTCCTCCACAACTAGATTGAAGAACAAAAAACGACAGCACTTGTCTGTTCCCCTTCCCCCAATTCCCCAGCACTGTTCCCATCCCCCCAATTCCCCAATAAAAATCTTAAAAATAATAATAATAATAATAATAATAATACCAACATGGGCTAGTGAAGCGACGTCTTCCACAACTAGACAGAAGAACAAAAGGACAGCAACTTGTCTGTTTCCCTTTCGCGATTCCCCAACACTGTTTCCTCCCCCAATTCCCCAATAAAATCTTTTAAATAAATAAATAAATAGGCTGTGTAGTCCAGCTATAGAAGTTCTACCTGGGGCATTGTGAGCCACTTGCCCAAAAATAATCTACAGTTCCTGCTGGAACTCAGATTTCACCATCAAGTATTTTTGGTGTTTTTTTGTTTTTGTTTTTTCTAATATAGAAAAGCCAGAGCATTGTTTCCAGAAGGCCAGTGTTCATAATTCACAGGGAATGGTCTGTGAGACTTATGTCTATTACATCTGTGGAGATTAAATTACTGTATCAGATGCTAGTAACCTGAAGAAAGAAAGTCCAGCCTGAGGGGTTGTGACAAAAGTAGGTACATTTGAATTGAGAAGTAAATGGTATGAAAAAAAAGGGAAGAAAATCTGTGAGTCTAACAATCTGGCAGAAAAACAGCCATAGGGCTAGCTGTAATTAACTAATCCTTGGAAACATTATGACAACCTCTACCCAGATATAGGCTCTAGCAAGAGTTCTGACCCTGAAATCTCTCCCCATCTCTACCCCTATTCCTTTCCTTTGGACTTCTCTCTCTCTCTCTCTCTCTCTCTCTCTCTCTCTCTCTCTCTCTCTCTCTCTCTCTCGCTCGCTCCCTCATGCCCCCCCCCAAATTTGCTACTCAAGGAAAGCAAACATAGTTTTCTCTAAATCTAATTTATTTTTCCGTAAAATGAAAATGATGAACTAGATTATGGTTGCTACCCTAGGACAGAAGTCATCAATGATAAAGATTTCCATGATGAGAAATGTCCCCCTATAGTCCTAGCTAAACAAATAATGGGGGTGAGGAGATAGGAGGCTTTAGAGGTAAGTCAGGGAGGGCCTGGAAAAGACAGAGGCTTCCAATCAGTCCTCTATTCCAGGTCTAGCAAAAATAACATGGGTTTCTTTCCACCAATAATAATAACCCAAAGATGCTCCCATCAAGGGCCTAGAGCCATCTTAGCTTCACACCTCCATCTTAAAAAAAGTTAAATGCCAGATCTTATAAACCCAAACCCTATGTTCTTCCAGTCTCACTTATTAAAAATTGCAAAGTTCTTTCATATTCATTGCTTCCCATATATATCCATCTATATATTGGGTAGTCGGAAAAGTCATGACGCATTTTTGCAACGAAAAACATAGAAAAAATATGTCATGACTTGATCCCAATAGATCAAGATGTAGTTTTAGTTAAGAGTGATGGCTATAATAGATTGACTACAAAATACAGTGACTAAAAGGAAAAAAAGAAACAATTTGTTTTATAACATTACAGAACTGGCAGAGGAGCTCTATTCCATGTGATCACTCAGTCCAACAAAGTGGGGAAGGAGAAGGCCGGGAGAATGCATATCTAAAATCTTGAATCCCAGCTTAGGGATTGGTACATTTCACTTTCACACATAATTACTTTGCCTCACTGGACTGCAAGGTACACTGGGAAATGTAGTCTAACTAGGCAGCCATGTGCCCAGCTGAAATTATTTTCACTAAAGGAGGGAATAGATTCAGATAGATAAATGATAGATAGTAGATGATATGTAGAGATAGAGATAGAGATAGAGATAGAGATAGAGATCTATCAATCAAAACCTATTCCCTCCTTCTATAGTAAGAAAAAAAAAATTGAGGCTGGGGGCATAGCTGCCTAGTTAGACTACATTTCCCAGCCTAACTTGCAGTTAAGTGAGGCAATATGTGTGGAAGTGAAATACATGTACCCTTGTTATCCCTTTAGTCCAAGTTGTTTTCATCTCTTTCCTGAACATCTATAAACGCCCCATTGAACTTTAAATAAAATATGAAATCCTTAACCTAGTCAGATCTCCTCCTCCATTTGTAGCCTCATCCTGTGCTATTCTGCCCCTCACTAAGATTAGTGGCTTTTATTCATTATCCAGGTACAAAACGCACTTTCATACCTCAAGGCCTCAGCCATTGTATTTGTTTCCTAGGGATGCCATAACAAATTACCACAAACTGTGGGTTAAACAAAGGAAATATATTCTCACAGTTCTGAACGCTGGAACTCCAAAATCGAGGTGTCGGCAGAGCCATGCTGTCTTGGAAAGCTCTACAGGAAGATTTTTCCTTGTCTCTTCTAGCTCCTAGTGGTTGCTGGCAATCCTCAATGTTACTTAGTTTATGGATGCATCACTCCGATCTCTGCCTCCATCTTCTCCCCTGTATCTTCCTGTGTCTCCTATAAGGACACTAGATATTGGATTAAGCCCCACCCTAATCCAGAATGACCTCATTTCAACTTGATTACATTTTCAATGACCCTATTTCCAAGTAAGGTCACATTCATAGGTACTAGGGGTTAGGACTTGAACATGTCCTTTTTTAGGACACCATTCAATCCATACCAGTCATGCTGTCCCCAACAGAACATATTGAGTGATAAGAACAAGGACCCTGGAGCCAGGCTGCCTCAGTTTGAATACCAGTTCTGCTCTTATTGGCTGCGTGATCTTGGGCCAGCCACATAACCTCTCTGGGCTTCAGTTTTCTTAGCTGTAAAATGAGAATGGAAATAGCATCTCCATCACAGAGATAATCTGAGAATTAAATGAGTTAATAAGTATAGTGTCCAGAATATAGTAAGCACTATGTGTGTTTATTAAATAAAATAAGTTCTTTATCTGTTCATCCTTGAGGTCTCAGCTTAAATGTACTTTCTCAGACAGGCATTTCATGATTTCCTCTCACTTCAAAGATAATTTATAATTATTTATCCTTTTGTGTGGGTTTTTTTGTTTGATGTATTTTTTTCCACTAAGCTGTAAGTTCCATGAGGGCAGACTGTGTCTATTTGGTTCACTCTGCTCCTAGCACCAACAAAATGTTTTGCATATGATGAATGTTAAATATTTGTTAAATGAATAAGTAATTATGAAGGGTTCAAGTTGGCAATTTAATTATTGTGAGTTTGTGGGGCTTTATTTTCTCTCTCTCCCCCTCTCTTCCACCCCACCCCACACTCCTCTCTAGGAATCTTAGGAAAAGAATTAGCTCTAAATTCACAACATCCAGTCCTGTTTTGGTTTCCTTCTCTCTGTAACTTCACAGAAGAATGGAAATGAATTACACAATAGTTTTCTATGAAAACCTGCCCCCCAAAAGCAAGAAGACACAGAAGAAAAACATGGAGCCAAGTGGCAGGAGGGCACAGGGATAGTGAATCAATAACAATTACAGTGCTTGGGGGTCGACACATGGTAATTCAATTAAAAATCAAGTATTTGAACCCGGTATGAATTTGTATCTATTAACAGGAATTTGTCTTTTAAGCCTGGGAATGGGGGGGGGGGGGTAACAAGCATAGCTTATGCCAAAAAAAACTGCTGGCATTCTTACTTCATTGTTTGTAATAAGTTGGGCACTGCTAACAGGTAAGCATGAGGGACCCTGATTCTGCCATTTTTATCTACAGAATACATTTTATCTCCAGGTAATACATGGAGACTGAAACCTCACCAGGGCTCATTACCTGCTTTCCAGATTGGGGCACTCCTTTTGCCACCTGGATCCTCTAGCTGCATCTGCTGACAATACAAGTTGGAAGACTGGCATTCAAAAAATACGTCATATGATAGGTATTTTAGATATATTAATTTAATCTCCCTAGAACCCTTTTATATGGGTAGACTTATCCCAGGTTGCAGTGAGTAGATGGCAGAGCCAGGATATAACTATGATCTGATTCTAAGGTTAAAAACTCACTTCACCAGAAGGGCCTGACCTGCATGCAGTTAGACGCGTTTGAAGTCATTAGTAAAAACTAGGGCAGCAGTTTCGTAAAGTGCGGTCCGCAGCCGCCAGTGATCAGAATCACTGGCACTCTTTTTAAAAATTCAGACTCCCTTGCCCTGTCCAAGACCGAAGGAATCAGCAGAGGGGATATTTCAAAAAGGCACCTCCAAGTCATCCCGTTGCAGGGTACCTGTGGACGTAGGTGACTCTTATGCAAGAGAAACACACGCATAGGTTATGGGCACTATCGACAGACAACAGCATAACGCCCTGGCTGACTTCATTCCTGCTCAGCAGCCTCTAACCAAACCTGGTTCCAGAGTCGCCTCCTACCCTGCAGCCACAGAAATAAACTGAGCACGCGCTCCCAAGCTCTAGGCGGGGCTCCTTAAGGGGCGGGGCTCCATAAGATCCCTCAGGACCAGCCGGCGCAGGGGGCGGGGCTTTCCTTAAGTAACTTAATTCTGGCTTCTCCCCGCCGCTGTCCCGAACCCCGCCCCGGGCTCTCAACCCAATCAAACGGCAGGTTGCTGAAGCTCGGGGCCAATGTTCAGGGCCGTCCTTACTTCCTCTTTGCAGTTTGAAACTGTCAGGTTGCTGCTAAGGTAGCCGCTACATTCACGGTTGTTTTGCCGACGACGCTGCGAGAAGACGGGGACAGAGGAGTCCGGGTTCGTGGAGAACAGCGACGGTGGGTAGCGGCGCCCCGGGCCGACCCCGCGCCCCTGGCAGAGGGAATGGAGTGTGATTTAAAATGCCTTGGCCCGGACTTCCGCTCCCGGGGCTCGTACAGGACGGGGCTGGGAGCATCTTCCCCAAGACGCGGGCCTTTCAGCTGTAATGCGGAGCGGCAAGGTCGAGACCTTTTCCTCTCCAAGGCGTCCAGGAAGAGAGGGCAGGAGTGAGGTGCCTGAAGGATAACGGTTACTGTCGCCATAGGGTCTGGTCATTTAAGATGTAAGGGGGAAAATGACCATGTCTAACCCTTTATTGTGTTTAAGTATGAATTTGATTAAAATGGGGGTGGGTAGGAAGGTGATCGAAGAGAACTTTTATAGCCTTTTGCTTACTCGTAACTGCTTTCCCCCTCTGCTTCTAGCCCCTGCCGTGGGGAGGGACTGGCGCATGCGTCCCTTATCCTTGCCTGCAGCCAGGATCGGTGAAGGGCGCACGGACGTCACCCTGCTGCCCGCCTACACGTTAATTCACGCTTCCTCTGCCTCTTAGGGGTTGCATTTGAGTTCCTGGACCCCTTTTTCCCTATCAGCCCATTACCGCGACGTAATTTTATTTCTATGGCAATAGAGAAGTACTCAGAACTTTTTATCTCTTGATTTCTGATATTTTGGGTTAGAGAATACTGAAAATTGAAGAAACTGATGTACATCCGCCACCCATTAAAGCAAGCTTCATCTTCCTCTTTTGTTTCTGAACCTAGAAGCAGAAAAGAAAATACTAATGTTGTAGAGTTTCAAATCAACTGTCATACCTGTTGGCATCGAAGCAGGGCAGGTGGAAGATTTCTAGCATATTTTCCAAACGTACAATAGTTGTTTTGTGTCTGCAGTATCTATATTCAGAAACTCTTTTTGAGTTCCAACCGTACCTTTCAGCTCATTTGTTTTTTTGAATAGTCAGCCCTGCCCCACCCCCACTCCTATACCTAACGGTCAGCAAACACAACCTAAAGGAAGAAGTGCATGAAAATAGAAATGGACCAAGTTACCCCATTGGTGGATTTGTAGTCATATGAAGCAGCCATTCTTTGCTGCAGATATATGAGCTTACATATCCTCCCTAATTGGCTTAACTAAAGGCAGTCATGCTGAGATTTAGTTTACTTATCATGTGTGTACTCAGTAATACTCATTGAATAAAGTCGAAGTATCCTTTCCACAATCTAGCCCCAACTTATGTTGCTATTCTAATACTGCACTTTTCCTGTGTTTGCCCTTTCAATTTCAATTTCCTCATCTCTTACTTATTTTTCAGCCCAGTGTGATTGAGACTTGTTCCACATTCCACTGAAATTGTTCAGGCAAATATAGCAACTGCCTGATTACCAAATTCAAGGGACTCTATCTAGTTCTCATCTTTCTTTGGCATGTGACTCACTACTCTTTTCTCCAAGCTTTTGTGATAGTTCTACCGACCTGACTTCCTTTTCAGTCTTCTTTGCTGGCTCTTTTCTTCCGCTTTACATGTTAGTGGTTCTGGTTATAACCCCCTTCTCCCTACGGTAGTGGTCCTTATCTTTTTTAGGGTTATAGTTCCCTCTGAACACACATTGGAAGCTAAGGATCCTCTTCCCAGAAAAATATACATATGCATTTATACTGAAAAAATTGCATACAGTTTGGGTGTACTTCAGAATAACAAATGTTTCTCACATTCCTTTTCATCGGTGATCTTATCTTCTCCCTTTTTCAGCATTTCCATTATGCTGACAATTCCTCAAACTTTATCTCCAACCTAAAGCTCCAATGTAGCCCCCACCCCCACCCCTTGCTTAACTGCAGGAAGCACCATTCACGTTGTAACCATTGTGAATGGCAGTCCTTGGGGTGGCCATATACTGCAGACCCGCAGGTTCACCTCAATGCCTCACAGGCACCTCACACCCAAAATGTGTGATATTGAACCCATTGTTCTTCCTCCAAAACTGCTCATCTTCCTACAATTCTCGCCTTGGTGAGTGGCACTATCATCCATCTAGTTTCTCAAGCCACACATCTGGAAGCCATCAACAATTCCTCCCTATTGCTGTAACACATCTCATAGCCATACCCTCCATCCAATTCCCATTGCTGCCTCCTAGATTCAGGTCCTCATTTATCCTCAGGATTACTGCCAGAGGGAACATTTAACCTCTTGGACTACTACAGTCGGCTCTCACTTGATCTCTCTTCAAGACTCCAACTCCAAACCATCCTGAAAGCTGCCATAGTGATCTTTCTGAAAGACAAGCATGATCTAGTTATCACTTGTTTAAAACATTTTAATAACTTCTCTAAAATAAAGAGCAAACTTTTTAACATGACATAATCATGGTCTTCCATGATCTGACTGCTCCTAACGTGCCTGTTTCATCCTTAGCCAAGCCTCGTTTGCACCTTTTGCTTCAGCCTTACAAACTATTTATGCCCCTGGAATACATGTCTGTGCCTCTGTGCCTGCTTATGCAGCTCTACTGCTGAGCACATCCTGATATCTTTTATCTGCCTTTCAGGTCTCAACACTGGGGTCATCTTCTCTATTAAAACTCTCTTTGGCTCCATTTCCATTTCTTCACATCCTCACAATCTCACCCAGAAACAATGGCTACTCCTACCTCCCTTCTTTGCACCGCTGTTGTTTTAAGGTCTAAGCACTTTTTTCATCGGTCATTTATATTCTATATACTACATATCTGGCCCTCTCTACAGATCCTAAGGTCCTTGAGGATGAACTCTTCATCTTACTTCCTCACCAACATCTTACGTGTAACTGGTACTCAGTTTAAATATTCACTAGTTGCCTTTTAAATACTTTACGTGTTACTAAAAGTACTTTACTTTTTATTTTCTGGTTCAGACGTTTAACAGTTTTTCCATGTGTGTATTAGAATCTGTTGTTTTGTATAGGCTTGCTTTCCTTAAAATAATATTCCCAAAAGGTAAGTTTCCCAAGCAGAGAATGTGCACAAATCGTTCATTCTCCTGGGTTCAGTGTCTTCAAAGAAGTGCATCCAGGTTGTCACACATTGTTGAAGAACAGTGATCACAATCTATTATTCTCAACAGCTCCACTGCAGATTTTTCTGAGGAGCCTTCTTTTTTCTTGAACCTTTCATTATTTGTCTCATCTCCTTCACTCCCTTGTAAACTCACTAATTTGGGGAATTGAGTCTTTATTTTTTCTTGCTTGGTGATTTTGTCTACGGGTGCTCAATATGTTGAATGATTTTATATCACATGATTATTGTTTACAAGTTCGGATGATATTCCATATATATAAAATGTTTCATATATATATATATATATATATATACACATATATATGCATACATATATATATATATATATGAAACATTTTATTTTAAATATTGAGGAAAATAACTAAGTTAGCTTCTGTTGTTTTATAGCACCTGTGTAGAATGTCATCAGATGAGGAGAAATGCTCACTTCCAGTTACGCAAAATGACGCCAACCAAGGCAGCTCTGTCTCTTTAGATCTTCAGGTAGGGAGACATGTCTAAATTTGTCATGACTTATTTATTTTCAACAAGTAATAATATGAGGGAAAACCACCATTTGTTTACATTTATAATTATGTGAATATAATGTATAATGTATGTCAAATTATATCAAACTTTGGGAATTATTTTACAAACTTTGGGAAATACCTTACATTGTATTCACTTTTCAGAAAATAATCATGAGCTCTTAAACACTTTTTGTACAAAGGCTTCAAAGAACGCAGTGAGAGGAGAAGCTGAAAATGTCAAGAAACATTTTTTTCTTATACTTTTGTCATTGTAGCTATCTCTTATGAATGCTGCTTTCGCTGTAATACAAATTACTATAGTATCAAACCATGCAAAGTTTTGAGGTCCTAGATTCCCTGGTGTTCTGGGTTCTATGAGTAGTTGCTGTTGCCATAGCAATCTGCACATTCTGCTGCTCAGGACCTAGACAGTGACAGATAAATGACTACAGAAGGTGTGGCTTTCACATGAAATTGTTTTAAATTTCTTTTATTTCTGAATGTTTTATCATCAAACATATGGATTCAGATTTCTAGAATAGATTTTAATTGACAGAATAGTGACATGGTACTCGTATATCTTGAGTTTTATAGTTCTGTCACTTAAGAGGAAAAACACTGGACGTTATGTTTATGTTAAGATCAATAAATTCTTATTGGCACTGTATAATATAAGAAAAGCTTTAGGACAATATTTTATGAAACAAATGTGTTCCTTTAATTGAAATTACAGATTTGGAAATGGGAAGCTCTTTATAAAATCTGTGACTATTTACTAGGATAAAGGCAGTCTGGAATGTGACAGATGTTTCATCTTGCCTTCCCCTCTCCCATTTAGTGCTATCTTTTTAGGTGACAGTACGTTCCTGCACCCTTTATCTCTGCCTGAGCCAAACTTCTTTCAAGAGGGAACTGATTAACTCATCTATACTTGTGATATTGTGATTTATAATAAGAAGTATACATTTGGTCTTCATCCATGCCTCTGGCACAGAGTTCCTAAAACCATTGGAATGTCTTAAGTGATGAGAGTGATAAAGGTATCTTTTGTTATGAGGTGACTTTTGGACCCTCACCTCAACAGGGGGCTGGTTGCTAGAGGAATCAACCATGTGATTAGAAGGTTGGAACTTTCACTTCCACCACCCTCAATCTTTGAGATGGAAGAGGGGCCAGAGATCGAGTTCAATCAATAATGGTCGTGATTTAATCATTCATGCTTATGTAATGGAGCCTCCATGGAAACCCAAAACAGAGAGTTCAGAGAGCTCCTGGGTTGGTGAACACAGGGAGGTGCTAGGTGACTGTCATGCTAGGAGAGGGCATGGAAGCTCCGTTCCCCTCCCACATACTTCACCCTATGCATCTCTTCCATCTGGCTGTCCCTCAGTTATATCCTTTTCTATAAACTGGTAATATTTGTATAGTAAGTAACATGTTTCTCTGAGTTCTGTGAACCATTCTAGCAAATTAATTGAACCTGAGGAGAATGGGCCATTGGAACCTCCAGTCCATAGCTGGTCAGTCAGAAGCACAGGTGACAACATGGACTTACAACTGGCTTTTGAAGTTGGAGTTGGGCCCGTCTTGTGGGACTGAGCCCTTAACTTGTGTAATCGGGTGCTAACTCTGGTGGACAGTGTCAAAATTGAGTCAAATTATAGGATACCCGTCTAAGAATTGCTCATTGGTGGTGGGGTAAAAACCCACACATTGTAATTGTTGGGTCCAGAATCCTTTAATACTAAAATATAAACACCCTGTAAGATCTTAGTTTGTCGTTTTGTCAGGAGACAAAGATTTACATCAGAAGAATAAATCTCTACAGTACAATTTAAGGGAGGGAGGGGAAGAATCTTCTAGATATGCCAGAAATCATTTTGTGTTATTGGTTACCTGCTTAGAATGGCAGCCCAGCTGAGATTCTGTCTATTAGTAACGCTCAACTTAGGACCCTACTGGCTTTTGACTACAGTTGAAAACCTGCCCATGTTCCATTATTGGAAACATTTCAATATATAAATACCAAAAATGATTATTTAAAATAGCATAAAATAGCTATACACTTTTATATATAGTAAATATGTAAAAATCTTTGTTGTTCTTTTGCCTGAGTGTCCGATGTGACAGTGTTATAAAACATTATCTATTATTGGCTTCTCATAGGATGAGTATGAAGAACTGCTTCGTTATGCTATAGTGACTCCAAATATTGAATCAGGTGCTTCACAGCCATCTCATTCTAAGGCAGAAGTGGTGCCAGATGTTAGATTTCCTACTATAATTGATGATATTCTTCATGATCAAGGTTATGTATATTTTTCAAGATATCTTAATTTAAGATGTTATTTGAGCTTATTAATGCTATTGACTTATATGATTGTAAAAATGCTTCCAGTGATTCTTCTCAGTCAATGGTGTGTATCACTGTTATCTGGGGAAACTTTACATTTTAATATGTTATTCTTGGCTCTTATATGACAGCTGGATTTTTATTTGAACTTCATTTGACTATTACTTTTATGAAAAGTAATAAAGCAGTACTGTAGCCATTGCAAGTCTCTTAGTGGGATCTGTTGCATCTCGGCACTTGTTCCAATGGTTGTTTGCTAGGATTATCTGGGAAACTAAATGCCCAAGCCCCCACATTAAAGATGGCCCATAGGTAGCCCTCAGAACCCCTTAAGCTTATGAAGCATGTGCTAGAACTTTGTCAGCAGTATTTATATGGGCGTAGAAAACTGTTTAATCCAAACAGTTCACCACAAAGGGGAACCCATTTTTGGAATAATGTCAGCGACAGAATTGAGAGCTAATATAAACCAGGATGTATGTTGATCGATGAGTGAAAGGTAGAAAAAGGAGGATAAACTCCTTTTACCTATCTGTTTCTTATTCAGTAACGTACAAGATCCCAAACGGCTTGCTCAAAGTAAGTGTTCTATTGAAGGGCACAGAAATCCCTCCTAAAATAGCCCTGATAACAAGCAATTATCAACAATAGGTAGAGCTCTAAGGATTCCTCCTTGAAGGCACATGACACACCTACTCACAGTAAGCAGGTTCCTGGGTTTCTGCTGAATCACAGCCCTCGTGTCTGCTGTCTCTCTCCCTCTGTAGACGTGGAGTTTTCATGGCTCCTCAATCTTCGGCATACTACACTGGATTAACAAATAGACCACAATCTTAAAATACATACATTTATTCTACAACTGAAACATTCTAACATTAAACATTTTCTACCCACATTTTATTGCTCTTCAAGAGATATGACCCTTGATTTATTCATTCTACATCACTGATCTTGACCGTGTTTTGATAACACTGGTGCCTCAACATGGAATTCCTACTGAGCAAACCCAAATAATAGTGCTGCAGACTCTCTTATAAATGTAAAGAGGCAATCACTGTGTTAGCCCTCTAAACCTCTACCCTTAAGGTAGTTACCAGAAGCTTGTTTTCCATGGGCTATAGTACTGCTCTACTGTTGTTGCCAGTAACACAACACAGGATTCCTTTCCTTTCCCCAACTCTGCCACCTTTCAAGGTAATCACTTGGAAATGAAGACCTCTGCTCTCTTATAGCATGTCAGATAGTATTTATGCTCTGCCTTCACCAAAATGGATTTGAGCTCTAAGCATACAACACGCGGTGACTTTAGATGGCCTGATTCACACAGAGACTTGGTTAGAATGGACTATGTTAATTTATCATCTTTTATCATCCCATTCTCTTTACTCTTGGCATTGCCGCTGCTTGGTATAAGCAGGGTGTGTCAACGTTGGCAAAGTCATTCTTGTGAGGTTTTTCCCAGTTTCTTTTTTCAACTTGTATTGACTAAAAGTTCCCAAGGTGGAAGTAAAGACACCCCTGTTTGGGGGGAACCAATGTCACTTTAGTTTGATTGTAGTTCGTGAAAAGCAGCAGGCCCCAGGAAATGCCCAGTGTTGTAAAATAGCACAGCCTTTTCTAATGGCATTCATCCACTGATTATCTTAGTGTGAACTGAATGCCAGAGTAGACTGAATTCTTTCATCCACATTTGGTGGGTGAAATTGAGCTTATTAATGATACAATAAGACTTTTTCTTGTCTCAGATATTTTTCTTTATTCTT